CCCGGTTCTGGATTTTGCCATGCAAATGGGCACTTAGATGTCCAAATATCCATTTTATAGACATCCATTGACACAAACTGTAGCATTCAAATGTGAAAATGCATACTCTGACATTTTGAAAAGTACTTGATTAGACCTTATTGCCCTTGGCCTGTGAGCCTAGACAGACATGTGGTGTCCCAACCAGTATCTGGGCCTAATACACTGCTTGGTGGTCCAGTTGTGCATACTGTGGCCTTCGATGAGCTGTATAGCTTTAAGATTAACACTGGAAAATTGGGCTTCCTAAATGAATGCATTTTTTATTTTATTACCCTGACCATTATGGCTCAGCAAATGATGTGTTCAATCATCCAGCTAATCTAATGTATCTGCGTAAGGTATTTCCAGTGCATCTACCTCCTTTAATATCTAGGTGCTAAAAGGATTATGTTGCAGCGTGGTAACTGTCCACCCATATCTACTTAGTACCCTAATGCTGTAGGCATATATATCCCACCCCATGATGATCATCCCCTCTCTCTTCCTGAGCAGAGTGCTAAGGTATAATTTGGATTTAATTAAAATGACTTTGACTGGGTCAAACTACAGTGGTTTTAAAATTACTACATTGGAGATTTTGTTTTGTAAGAAGAGAAAGTGCCTGTTTGTAGACATGAAACACTGTTATAAGACTTAAAACAAACTCCTTTTATTGCTACTGCGTCTAGAAAGCCATATGCTAAAAGTAAAGGGAAATTATTCTAGAATCACAAACTGTCAAGGTTCCTCCCCCACTCTGAACTCTAGGGTACAGATGTGGGGACCTGCATGAAAAACCTTCTAAGCTTATCTTTACCAGCTTAGGTCAAAACTTCCCCAAGGTACAAAATATTACACCCGTTATCCTTGGAATGGCCACTACCACCACCAAACTAATACTGGTTACTGGGGAAGAGCTGTTTGGACGCGTCTTTCCCCCCAAAATACTTCCCAAAACCCTGCACCCCACTTCCTGGACAAGGTTTGGTAAAAAGCCTCACCAATTTGCCTAGGTGACTACAGACCCAGACCCTTGGATCTTAAGAACAATGAACAATCCTCCCAACACTTGCACCCCCCCTTTCCTGGGAAATGTTGGATAAAAAGCCTCACCAATTTGCATAGGTGACCACAGACCCAAACCCTTGGATCTGAGAACAATGAAAAAGCATTCAGTTTTTTACAAGAAGACTTTTAATACAAAATAGAAGTAAATAGAAATAAAGAAATCCCCCCTGTAAAATCAGGATGGTAGATATCTTACAGGGTAATTAGATTCCAAAACATAGAGAACCCCTCTAGGCAAACCCTTAAGTTACAAAAAAGATACACAGACAGAAATAGTTATTCTATTCAGCACAATTCTTTTCTCAGCCATTTAAAGAAATCATAATCTAACACATGCCTAGCTAGATTACTTACTAAAAGTTCTAAGACTCTATTCCTGGTCTATCCCTGGCAGAAAACCAGCATACAGACAGCCACAGACCCTCTGTTTCTCTCCCTCCTCCCAGCTTTTGAAAGTATCTTGTCTCCTCATTGGTCATTTTGGTCAGGTGCCAGCGAGGTTACCTTTAGCTTCTTAACCCTTTACAGGTGAGAGGAGCTTTCCCCTGGCCAGGAGCGATTTCAAAGGGGTTTACCCTTCCCTTTCTATTTATGACACAAACATTGGGGATGGAACAGATTTTATGAGTCATCTAGTCTGTCCCCACAGGGTTGGCACATGGAATCCATTTTGTAGGGTGGCCTCCAGCCTGATAACTCTCCTCCCTCCACAGTGGGAGGGAGCCATCTCAGAGCTGTTGTAGCTCCAGCTTCTGTGAGTGTTCCCATACACAAAACCATGTTTCATTCATAGATATTCAGGTCAGAAGGGACCATTATGATCATCTCGTCCGACCTCCTGCACAACGCAGGCCACAGAATCTCACCCACCCACTCCTGCGATAAACCTCTCACCTATGTCTGAGCTATTGGAGTCCTCAAGTCATGGGTTAAAGACTTCAAGGTGCAGAGAATCCTCCAGCAACTGACCCCTGCCCCATGCTACAGAGGAAGGTGAAAAACCCCCAGGGCCTCTTCCAATCTGCCCTGGAGGAAAATTCCTTCCTGACCCCAAATATGGCGATCAGCTGAACCCTGAGCATGTGGGCAAGGTTCACCAGCCAGGAAAGAATTTTCTGTAGTAACTCAGATCCCACCCCATCTAACATCCCATCACAGGCCATTGGGCCTATTTACCGTGAATAATCCAAGATCAATTAATTGCCAAAATCATGTTATCCCATCATACCATCTCCTACATAAACTTATCAAGTTTAATCTTGAAGCCAGATAGGTCTTTTGCCCCCACTGCTTCCCTTGGAAGGCCATTCCAGAACTTCACTCCTCTGATGGTTAGAAACCTTTGTCTAATTTCAAGTCTAAACTTCCCGATGGCTAGTTTATATCCATTTGTTCTTGTGTCCACATTGGTGCTGAACTTAAATAATTCCTCTCCCTCTCCGGTATTTATCCCTCTGATATATTTATAGAGAGCAATCATATCTCCCCTCAACCTTCTTTTGGTTAGGCTAAACAAGCCAAGCTCCTTGAGTCTCCTTTCATAAGACAGATTTTCCATTCCTCAGATCATCCTAGTAGACCTTCTCTTTACCTGTTCCAGTCTGAATTCATCCTTCTTATACATGGGAGATCAGAACTGCACACAGTATTCCAGATGAGGTCTCACCAGTGCCTTGTATAACAGTACTAACACCTTCTTATCTTTACTTAGCACACTCCCACTTTTTGGGCCGAGGTCAGTAATAAAAAGATTAAATAAGATTGGTCCCAAAACTGATCCCTGAGGAACTCCACTGGTGACCTCCCTCCCGCCTGATAGTTCACCTTTTAGTATGACCCACTGTAGTCTCTCCTTTAACCAATTCCTTATCCACCTTTCAATTTTCATATTGATCCACATCTTTTCCAATTTAACTAATAATTCCCCATGTGGCACCATATCAAACGCCTTACTGAAAACTAGGTAAATTAGATCCACTGTGTTTCCTTTGTCTAAAAAATCTGTTACTTTCTCAAAGAAGGAGATCAGGTTGGTTTGGCACAATCTACCTTTTGTAAAACCATGTTGTATTTTGTCCCATTTACCATTGACCTCAATGTCCTTAACTACTTTCTCCTTCAAAATTTTTTCCAAGACCTTGCATACTACAGATGTCAAACTAACAGGCCTGTAGTTACCCGGATCACTTTTTTTCCCATTCTTAAAAATGGGAACTATGTTAGCAATTCTCCAGTGATACTGTACAACCCCTGAGTTTACTGATTCATTAAAAATTCTTGCTAATGGGCTTGCAATTTCATGTGCCAATTCCTTTAATATTCTTGGATGAAGATTATCTGGGCCCCCCAATTTAGTCCCATTAAGCTGTTTGAGTTTCGCTTCTACCTCCATATCCTCATTCCTATTTGTCATGCTACCATTATCCCTAAGATCCTCATTAGCCTCATTAAAGACTGAGGCAAAGTATTTGTTTAGATATTGGGCCATGCCTAGATTATCCTCAGTGTTTCGCGGTCCCACTTCTTCTTTCTTTGTTTTCTTCTTATTTATATGGCTATAGAACCTTTTACTACTGGTTTTAATTCCCTTTGCAAGGTCCAACTCTACTTGACCTTTAGCCTCTCTCACTTTATCCCTACATGTTCTGACCACAATAAGGTAGCTTTCCTTGCTTCCAATAGCTTCTGCAGCTTTGACTTGAAGTAATCCCAGGCCTCCTCTGCCTTTAGATCCATAAATTCTTCAGTCCAATCCACTTCCCTAACTAATTTCCTTAATTTTTGAAAGTCAACCGTTTTGAAATCAAAAACCCTAGTCGCAGACTTATTTTGTTTATCTTTCCATTTAGTTTGAACTGAATTATCTCATGATCACTTGAACCAAGGTTGTCCTCTACAACCATTTCTTCTATGAGGTCCTCACTACTCACCAAAACCAAATCTAAAATGGCATCACCTCTTGTCAGTTCAGCAACTACTTGATGAAGGAGTCCATCAGCTATCGCATCTAGGAAAATCTGAGCCCTATTATATTACTAGCACTTGTCCTCCTGTCTTTATCTGGGAAGTTAAAGTCTCCCATGATCACGCAGTTTCCATTAGTATTTACTGCATTAAAAACATTAAAGAGGGCTCTATCCATATCCAAATTAGATCCCAGCAGTGTATAGCACATCCCAATCACTATCACAGAGGAGGCTCCAATAGTTTTCTTCCCCAATGTGATTTTTGTCCAGAGGATTCTGTCTTATCCATTCCGTTGCTTCTTATTTCTTTACATTCTACCTTATCATTGATATACAATGCTACTCCACCACCTTTACCTTTATTTCTGTCTTTCCTAAACAGCACGTACCCTTCAACACCTGTAGTTCAGTCATGACTACTATTCCACCACGTTTCTGTTATCCCTATAATATCTGGTTTCACTTCCTGCATCAGTAGCCCGAGTTCCTCCATTTTGTTACCTAGGTTCGTCGCATTGGTGTACAAACATCTTAATTTTTGCTGTTTGGCCTCGCTCACATTCTTTACCCGGTTAGGCACAGACATTCTACAGCCAGTATGACCTATTAGACTGGTATCCACACTGCCCTTACTCCTTATGTCCATTCTCCTACCCACGGCTGTATCCTTTCTTACTTTGTTTTCTTCCCTCTCAATGTTAAAATCCAGCGTGGAGATTACCTGGACATCTCCCAACCATCTCCCCCAAATTCCTAGTTTAAAGCTCTCTTAATCAGTTGTGCCTCCGTCCTAGAAGTCTATTTCCTTCCCTACTGAGATGAAGTCCATCCCGAGAGAACTGTCCCCTGTCCATGAATGCCTCCCAGTGGCCATACATCCCAAAGCCCTCTTTATAGCACCACTGCCTGAGCCATCTGTTGATAGTCATAATCTTGTCAAACCTTTGTTGCCCTTCTCTAGGAACAGGCAGAATCCCACTGAAGATCACCTGAGCCTCGATTTCCTTAAGCGTCTTCCCCAGCCTGGCATAGTCTCGCTTGACATGGCAGGTAGAGCTGTAAGGAACAGAACTTTGTTACCCATACTGAGAGGCTGGCCAGTTTCATGCTGAGTAAAGCTATGAAAAAATTTGAGGTTTTTGGGAAAAAAAAATTATCCCAAATTGAGACAAATTTCCAAAAACTCTTCTTTTTTTTTTTTTTTTTTTTGTGGAACAGGAAAGTCTGTATTTTTTAAAAAAACACCAAAATGTTCCCCCAGCAGGAATGTTTGGGTTTCTGAAATTCAATATGCTCCCCGAGCTTCCAGATTCCCCAGAAGCCAGGAAGCCTTGGTTACTCCAGCTCTGTGGCAACCTGCCAGGCAAGCTGCTGTGGAGCCAGGTAGCCTGTAAGCCTTGAGAGCCTGGCTACCAGAGAGGCGAGTGACTGGGCAGGAAACCAGGTAGGCTTCCACCAAAAACCTGCCTGGCTTCCCTCAGAAACGGATTCAAACTGACACATTCTCGCAGTATGTTCTGATTTTGACAAATCAACATTTTCTAATAGAAAACCTTCCATCAGAAAATTTTTGTCTAGCTCTAAGGGTGAGAGTCTACAGTTTGTCTACCATCAGCCAAGCCCCAGCTTGCATTCCTGAGCTCTTAGTCAACCATCAGACTTGGTCCCTTCTGAAACATGGCTTTCTTTCTCCAGTGCTACTTGTCTATTTGTCCACACAACCACTATGGGTAGCCAGTGTCAAGAGAGCCGTATATAAAGAGCTGCACACTGGAAGCCATTTACAGTGCACAACTTTAATCGGTCCTGGAACAGGAACAATATTACTGAGTGTCACCTACTGGCACTTTTACTACTAACAAATCACCTACAAGTAAACAGACATCTCTGTCTTTTACAGAGCACTCTCGACTACCACACGCGCACACAGCTATGGCCTGGCTATCACAGAGTCCATCTTTAAGTTTGGAGGGGGACAGCCTCTGTCAGGGAACCTCCCCCTTTTACATCACCACCACAAGCAGAGCGGAGAACCACTGCACCAGCATTGCACCAGCCCAACCACACCCTTAACACAGCTTTCACAGGGCCTGTCTCTTTAAGGGCCCTCCCACTAGAACAGATTTTAAGGCCAGAATGGTGCATTGGATCATCTAATCTTACCTCCTGTATAAAAGCCCATAGAATTTCACCCAGTTACTCCTGAACTGAGTCTAATACTTTGTATTTGTCTAAAATATCTTCCAGAAAGTCTTGATATGAAGGCATCAAGAGATGGAGAATCCACCACTTCCTTTGGTATCTTGTTCTATGGTTAATCATCCTTCAGTGTTAAAAACTACTCAGGTACCCTCCCAGCCAAAAAGCAGATGAAGGGGGATGGCTACTATCAGCTATATGTGCATTCATATCACCCCATATTTTGTGTATTTAATACTCACAATAAGATCATCATAAACAAAGAGCAATTAAGACTTTTTTTGGCAAATTATTTTGAATTGGCAAAAATTGACCAAAATGTGATCTGTTCACTGACAATTTGTACAAGAACAAGAAATGATCTTCATCAAATAATTCAGGAGGACAGATCCTTAGCTAGGGTAAATGTTCATGAAACTCTGAAGTCTATGGCACTATGAACATTTACACCACTGGATTATCTATCCTCAGATGAATTATTTGTCCAGTTCTAACGAACTGGACAATGAAATTAAAATATATAAATTAAAAATAATCCACCTACTTCCTTCAGCAATAGGCCTATAGCTATGAAAGTACCTGTTTTGTATATCAGCAAAACCCATCAGCTAATATCAGCAAAAAATTACTGTAATCTAAAACCACATAAATAAATCGTGCTGAATTTATTTCAGTTCTGGATTTTTTTCATCTTGTTTTAAAGAGGAAAGTTTTAAACCAAGGCCTTCAATGGGCAAATAACCAAACTGAACACTATTTGTATCAGAATATGGAGGGGGAAAAACAACTGAGATCACCTCAGCATTTCTGAGACTTAAGCAGCTATTTTTTCTTCATCCAAAGGCATCTAAACTGTATTAAGTTTTATTTTAATGGATCCACAACTGAGCCCAACAGAACAATAAATCCCAGTATCACTCATGCATGAATGCAACTGAAGAGCAAGATGAGAAATTATTTGACATACAAAGAACAGTAGATGGAGCATATAAAAAGAGCAAATGATAGGCTCAGTCCTGGATATTGCTGTAGTCCACTTGAAAGTAGGAAAAAGAAAGGAAGAAAAAATCCAGAAAGCTGCCAAGAAATAGTGAACATGGTCATCTGGGCAAATTCCCACTCTGAAGATCCGTCACAAATCCCAATAAGCAAATATGGTTTATCATCCCAATGGCAGATTTAGCACAAATAAATATACAGGCTCACCCCATTCTGATTTTAAAGGCAGATTACATGCATTGTCTCTGAGAGGTCTTCAGTGTTTTGTCATTTGGAAAGTTTGAAGGTGCCTCCAGGCCTCATTTTCTTTTTTTGCATACAACCTTTTACAAAACGATCTAGCTTTTGCATTCAGGAAATAGGACATAACATGCTGCTGCACTGTGCTTTGTGAAATTGGTTAGGTAACACTGACACATCATTGGGTATAAATGGCCAATCAGAGCCAAGTCACAGATTAAAATCATACTGGATTTAGCTCAAACCAGACCAAGCAAAGCCTACCCCACCTGCCCTAGTGAGTTTCCACTGGTTTTATCACTGCTTTCCAAATAAAGAATTCCATAGGATGCCACAACAACAAATACAGGAAGTCTGCATTACCCATACAGCAAGCTCCTTCTGGGCCTGATCCAGTGAATCCCTTAAGCACTTGCTTAATTTTAAGCATGTGAGCAGACCCTTATATATTTTAGTAAAGAGAGGACAAGAGCACGAATCCAGCAAAACACTTATGCACATGATTAAGCATGTGACTAATTCCATTGTTATGGACCAGCTTTATACATTCTTCTCCTTTGGAACTACTCATGTGCTTAAACAACTGCATGCGTGCTTCGCTGGATTGGGACCTCTATCCTCTTTTTATTAAACTGCAACAACCGTCCCCTGCCAAGAACAACTCTAGCAATAAAGCAGAATGCATAAAGCTAGTTAGCAATGTGATAAAATCCCTTCTGTACATGAAAGAATGACTTCCAAAACTCAATCAAGATTTTACTTCTTATAAGTAGTACAATACTATCCAAGACCTCACCACAGATAGTTTTCTGATATAAAGTATATTGATTAGTTGCTCGTTCTGACCTACACAAATGAGGGAACACTCTCACTATTTTCCCCCCTTTTATTTCATCTTTCATTATATATAAACAAACAGTCAGCTACAGAATATCATCATCACATCTGAAATAACAGGAGTAAAGCTCATGTAGGTCCTTATCTTCTCATTTCTATGAAAAATGTGCTGGGCGGTAGGGCAAAAAAGCCATTGTGGCGCCTGATGGCTAGGTGCAACGTGGCAAGGACTTTTCTCTGTAGTCCTGCCAACCAGATCTGCTGGTGGTCCCATTTTGCCTTGTGACTCAGCCCTCTAGTCAGGTCACCTTTGGTCTCATCCCTTTCAGGATAAACCAGGGTCTTTACCCAGTAGTCCCAGAACCTCACACCTGTCTATAGTCCTTGTGCAGGTGCCACAGTCCTTCTGGACTGTTGTGTCTGGGATCTTCTTTCCTGGCAAGGCTGTAGGGGAACCCAGGCCTGCTCTCTACCCTGGGTTCCAGCCCAGGAACCCTTGTACTAATTGGTTAAGGTTTGTCTTGTCAATCTCTTGCTTTTTCCATGGCCTACCACCCACGTTGGCCCACCTTCTCAGGGGGCTTGTATTCTCAGCAGGGTCTGCAATGAGTCAAACCCTTAGTGCCAGTTCTCAAGGTACTAAAGGAAAGGAAACTAACAGAAATAAAGAGCAGCACCAGCGTGTCTGTCCTACCAGGATCTTCCAGCTATCTGTCCTACTGCTCTGTGCTCGCAGGCAAGCAAAGGCAGCATGACTCTCTGCCGTGCTCCTCTCTGGGAGCTGAGGATGACAGGTCTATCTGCCTCCCCAGCCTGTGGCTTTCTGAAATGATTGTCTCTCTTTTTATTGATCCTCCTGCAAGATTGGCCTGACTTACAGGTACAGCAGGGAGGGGCTGCCAGGGCCCAAAGCTGCTTTCTAACCCCTTCTTGCCTAATGCTGAGTTTGTACACCCTGTCACAGGTGGACTTACCTCTCTCCAACCATGGCTTTTGCTATCTTCCTGTTAAACATCATCGTTTGTTGCTTGAGGAAGGGACGGTGACAGCATGGAATGGCCAGTTTTCTCCGAGCTCTGGAAGAACAGCAAAACCACTTTTCTTAAGATCTTGGACCATCAATTCTCCTTACAGGTCTCTTGTAACACTGAAACCCTGCCTATTTTACCTGCTGAGCAGACAGTGGGGGCACACATGCCCCCCTTCATTGTATTGTGTAAGAGTACATGAGGCATCCACCCAGATCTGTGAATTTATAGGTATGGGCTGTTTTTTGGAGGAATGCACAAGAAACTAAGGCCACCTTGACATGGGGTTAGCTTAGAGTCATTATTAATTATTTGTATTACAGAAGCGCACAGAGGCTGCAGTCAAGATTGAAGCCTCATTGTGCTAGGCACTATATAATCATAGCAAGACAGTCCCTGGCCAGAAGGGGTTAAAATCTAAAGTCTACATAGTTAAAGTCTAACTTTGTCATGATGGGCATAGACAAAAGTTTTGCAGACTTATTTTTGCTAAAAAAGAAATAGAAGATTTTAACTACATGCAAGGTTTAAACAAGGTGCTTACGAAAGGAAAGTAAAACTTTAGAGACATGTTTTCAGCTGACCCTCCCTTTTTTACAGGAGTAATAAGCACCTGTAAACTCATGTGTGTTTGGTTGAGGGTTTTTAGTTTGTTTTTTCTTGGATCTACAATAGAACTGTGAGACAAACACAGTATTCACAGTTTGTCAGCTTGCTGCGCAATTTGTGCCCACTGCATTGACACAGACTTGAGAGTTGAGGAGATAAAATATCACACAACTGATTATGGTTTAAATGGGTGGTCACGATTAATTTAGATAATTCAACCATACATCATTAACTCTGAGCAGTTAACTGTTAACATCGCACTGATGGTACCCAGGAGCAAATCTGTCTCCGTACTTAACTGCTGCCCATAAAGGCCCATCACAATGGGACGGAGGCATATTTCTTTCCAGAGAGAAGGCAAACATGGGGTGAGACCCTAATCTACCCTGGCCTCTTTATGCTGGGGCAGGCACTATGATCAACAGTTGTAAGGCTGCCTTACAAGGACACCCCTGCAAGCCCTGGCATTGGGCAAGTGTTGGGGGGAAGAAAGGACATGCTGGAGATGGGACTGCAATTTCTAGTGCTGAAGAGATTCTGGCCAGTGCTGCAGCCTACAGGCAGCAACCACAGTTGTCTTACACTGGGATCACAGAGCAGCTCAGAACTGGAAGGGTGCAGAGGTGGCTTAAAGCCACCATAGCCCTCCCACTGTCTGGGCTGTAAGTTCTCACCCATGCTCCTTGCCCTGAGGATAAGATCTAACACAGGGAAAGATTACATCAGGCAATGGAAAGGGACAGAATCTAGGACTTTGGGGCCAGAATTTGCCACACTTATTCATGAAGAGCAATAACTTACTCTGATTTCCATGGGCTACTTGGGTCAGATACTACTCAACTTGAGTAAGAAGAGTAGAATGGGATTATTTGCACCAAATTTAATATTAACAATCGATACCATATATAGTGTGCAGTTTGCTTTTTTCATATATAGAACTTGGGTTTACAGTTGTTCTAAAAAGACCATCATGTGTGCAGACAATTTTTGAGTGCTTATCCAAACCAAATCTCCAGAACTTGTGAAATATGCCCACTGCTAACAAGAATTATTAATTCTTATTTTATATCATAATTAATTGTAAATTATTAAAGGAGAGATATTTCCATGAATTCCCAGCTCCTTTCCTTCCTGTAGGCACAACTGTTAAAGTAAAAAGAAGACAAAATGATGAGAAGGAATATTCATCTTCAAAACTGAATCATCAACATGAAAAAGGTTGCTATTTTCAGTCCTTTACCTCAGTGCAGTGAACCCACTTGAATTCAAGAAAAATGTTTTACTGAAAAAAATTCACCTCTCATTAGGACCCTAGAAGTCTTCCACTTTCCTGTATTGCTTTCAGACAGGAGAGAAAGATGATTAATTTATCAGAACACCAATACAGCTGTTCATTAGTGCCATGCTCCTTTCTCACCTTCTCTTGACTTAATTCCCACTTTAGAACTGTTCCTAGTCCAAGAATATTGCTTCACCTCAAAACTCAGTGTGCTTCACCGGCACATCTACCAATGTGATATATGCCATCATGAGCCAGCAATGCCCCTCTACCATGTACATTGGCCAAACCGGACAGTCTCTACGCAAAAGAATAAATGGACACAAATCAGACGTCAAGAATTATAACATTCAAAAACCAGTCGGAGAACACTTCAGCCTCCCTGGACACTCAATTACAGACCTAAAAGTCACAATTATTCAACAAAAAAACTTCAAAAACAGATTCCAATGAGAAACTGCAGAACTGGAATTAATTTGCAAACTGTACACCATTAAATTGAATAAAGACTGGGAGTGGATGAGTCATTACACAAACTAAAAACTATTTCCTCATGCTAATTTTTCCCTTACTGTTACTCACATCTTCTTGTAAACCGTTTGAAATGAGCCATCCTGATTATCACTACAAACGTTTTTTTTTCTCCTGCTGATAACAGCCCACCTTAATTGATTAGTCTCGTTAGAGTTGGTATGGCAACACCCATTTTTTTCATGTTCTCTGTATATATATATCTATATCTATATCTATATATCTTCCTACTGTATTTTCCACTGCATGCATCTGATGAAGTGGGCTTTAGCCCAGGAAAGCTTATGCTCAAATAAATTTGTTAGTCTCTAAGGTGCCACAAGTATTCCTCATTCTTTTTGCTGATACAGACTAACCTGGCTACCACTCTGAAACCTGTCAAAATACATGCGTGTTCCCTCCTTAAACCCTGATTCAGGGAAGTGGGTAATGGTGTGCCTAAGTTTGGTCAGCCTCAGTGACAGGTGCAATAGTCCATTTGGATTCATTTGGGGTCTCCATTCGTAGTAGCATGGCCTGGCAGCTTTGCACATTATAGTCTAAATTTACAAAGAGGAAAGAAATAACAGTCTATGTCCTTGCAAAGAAAGAGGAATCTCAAGGATACAAATGGAAAGGTCAGATTTGAAATGCAAACGAAAATTAGGCTAATTAGATATGCTAATCCCAGTGAGAAATAGACTCCTATTGTAAAATTTTCCAAGGAGAAATGTGACACCATAAAGGTTTGCTATCTCATGACAATTTACTAAAAGCGAAGGGCAGTTAATTTTTCTCCTACTAGATGCAAGTGACATTTTAACACACAGCTTTCTTGACCACCACAAGGATTCTATCTTAGTTATTGCCTGTTGGGGAAATGCTCAAGTAGAAGGTTACTTTGAAAAGCTGGTGAAGACAGCAAAATTCTCTTCTGATGGCTAAAAGTTACCTTGAAAAATAAGCTAATTTTTGAGGGCGAAGATTCCACGGTAAGGCTTGTTTGTGCACATATGTACAGACACACAGATTATAAGTGTACATGAGAGAAGATGGTCTTGTGGTTAAGGATCAGTACTAGAACTCAGGAGATGTGGATTCTGTTCAAAGCTCTGCCACAGCCTTCCCTGCTATGACCTAGGGTAACTCCTGCTCTCATTTCTTGAATGGTTGTATGCAATCGTCATACTTCCCTTACACATATGCTGTGTGAGGCTTCATTCATTAATGTTGTAAACCACTCTGACGTTCTCCAAAGGAAGCTGCTAAATAGCATCTGATCCTGCACCCAGTGACGTCCATGTCAATTTTCTTCAATGGGAGCAGGTGCAGGCCTATAAGAACATAAATTATATAGGGGTTAGTTGTGACTTTGAAACAAGCCTCATCTATGTGTAGCCTCAAGAGAAGACCAAGAAATAGATTATGACCAAGACAATCATCCTCTGCCTGCTGGTTCGGGCAGGGGGAGCTTACTCTGCACCAGCCCTATAGCTGTTACAGTCTTATACCTGGCGCAGTGGGGAGTACCCACCCTGCCCAATATGCATGGGGAAGAGTTGTAGCAACCCATTGTACGGGCAACAGGTGCCATTGAGTAAGAGGGGGACATACACTCCTTCACTCCTCTGCATGGACACGCAGAATAAGCCACAATCAGGTCCATAGAATACTAGAAATTGTACAGAAATCACAATTTCATATGTTTATGTGTATAGAATAGTTGGAAGTATCTATAATGAAAACTGCTAAACATTAAAAAATTGAGAGAATGTGGTATATTCCTTCATGGAATCATTTACACAATTCCATACTTTTTGCACCCTCCAAATTCCATTGGCTTCAGTGAGTGTTTTGGGTATGCCAGGGCTGTTAGGCTGGCTTTGTAATACCTGTATGTGTGTACCTGTACACCATTACAAGATCTAAGGAACATTTTCAGTGTACTTTCTATGCCACTCTTCTCAGTTTAGTTTGCTATCGAATAGTGATGACATTATTGTCATCAAGATTGAAGTTCCTCACAAATGTGTTTCCAAACAACATTTTTTCATAGCAGCTGTGAAAGTGAGAAAAGAATTGAACCAAAATATATGAGGAGAATGGGCTGTTTCAAATCTGTCCTGTACTTCTAAGGGCTGATAAGAGCTCACATTCATGAAAAGTCTATTTAAAATGAGATGACTATTCTATTTGCAAAAATCTTTTCATCCTTTTATCCTTGATATTTCACTCCATTCCATATCAGTTCTGACAATCAGAACAGAACTTGATCCTGACATTTTATTTTTTAAATTAATGATCCTTATGTCATCTGACACTCTCTTTTCCATTCTTCTTTGAACGTGTTTTCAACATCTGGTGGAGCTGGTTGTAGCTGCCAGAGCTTTTTTAATTCAATAATAAAATCAGGTGCCAAGAAAGTAAAATCAGCAACTGTTGATTTTCAGTTCCTTCTCTTGATTTCTGCTTTCCTCAATTATTTTCAAATGAATGTCAACTCCGCTCAAAGGATTAGAAGGCTTCTGGCTGTCTCACCTGCAGAAATTAAAAGCTACTTTCCATTAACATCTACATTGAATACAATTTGATTTGGATGCTCTTTGGCTGGAGTCAAACAACATTATGCTGCTGTAGTGCATTGTTCTAAGGAAAACTGTCTTTTCCCCCAGCATCGATGGGACAGATTAGCATTAACTTGGGCCCTGATTCAGAAAATCATCCCTATTCAGCAAAGCACTTAAGCATGCATTTAATTTTAAGTCAAATTGACTGTAACGGGACTTAATGTTAAGCATATGCTGAATAGGGATTTGCTGAATAGGGATGGATTTATGCACCTGCTTAATTATTTTGCTGAATTAAGGCCTTGAAGTTCAAAGGCAATTGTACTGGACTTACTCCTTATTACCAGTCATAACTGCTTTCAAAGAATAAGATTTCGTACACCTTTGTACTTTTTACTTCTAGGTGTGTGTGTATATATATATATAATTTTAGAGTCAGACTGCAGAAGAATTCATTTCTGAGGACAACCAGCTATCTAATGCTTTCACCAGAGATACAGCCGTGAAAGAGAAGCCACTCTGATCCTTTCGGACATGTGCCAGTTCAGTGTGGTATCATAGTTAAAGCATTTTGGAAATCTGGGTTATGTTTCCACTCTGCCACTGACTCACTATGTGGCTTTGGACAATAATATTAGATCCTCTATTCCTCTGAGATGTAACTAATGTTGGTAAAGCAGTATGGGAAGTTGGGATGAACTGAATTCAGTGAGTTCCAACCACCATTGTACGTTTCTAAATATTGCTGTGAGAATGTGCTGTTTCCTCCAGAGTTAGAAAGGGAAATCAGGGGGCAAAAAACAAAACAAAAAAAACCCCCAAAACAGGGACTCACCAGCTGGAGAAGAGAGCAACTCACTCAGCAGCTGCCAGTTGCAAAATGGCAACTTTACAGCTGCAGCTGCTTGGCTTTAACCAGTTTAAAGGGTGTCTCTCACAAAGGCATGCTGGAAAAAAATGTTCCTATGAAAGGGCATTCTGACATTGTGAAGAGTTGGCAGGGACCCAAACAATATAGGGAAGAGGATCCTGGGGAAATGGATGGATTGGGATATATGCCACCAATATATCACAGTAGCCACATCATACTATGATGCAAACATTACCGAAGTCATGCTGGAATGTTCCAGGATGCTGTTCTGGCACTATTTTTAGGAGATGGAATGGTGTTCCACTAATTCTGCCGGACACAGGCCAGGTGCCTCCTTTCCTGCCCCAGTTTCAGACCATCCTCTCAGTTGGTAGGTGCTGGAGAGGAACACTGCAACCAAGACTGGGCAAGGGAATCCACAGGTTGGGGCAGCCAGTACCCGCAGATGGAATCAGGTATTGGGCCACCCTGACAGTGGATCCAACTTGTAGGAAGCAGGAGCTGGGCACAGGTAGGGAGATGGGATAGGCTCTGCAGAGGCTCATCTCCCTGGGGCTCCACCAGTTCTGGCACTTTTTTATTTATTTTATTTTATTTTTTTTAAAAAAGGACTCCAACACTGGGAGCGAACCTTAGTGGGGATGCACTTTCCTTACTGTCCCAACGAGTTTTCTCCTCCTTCCTTTCATCTAATTTCTCCTTTGTGCCCTTGCTACTACATCCACATCCCAAAACTTCAAGTTTATTTTAAATCAAATACAGAATGCATGACCCTAGTTTAGAACTGTGTCTATTGCAGTTGGACTTGACCTTCCCGTTTGTCACCAGTCTGCCGTGCTCAATTGCAGAAAGGGATTGGCCTAGGTAGTTAGGTAAGGGAGACTGCCAAATAATATAGGAAATCATTATAAATTATACAGGCCGGTAAGCAAGTGAAAAGTTTGTGACTGCTCTTTAAATCCTGGCAAATAGTGAGCGAGGCCACTAGTGGTATTTATTCAGTACAATGAAGTCACACATATTGCTTTCATGACAATGAGAATCTACATTGCTTTGCAGTTCTACCTTTTTGATTTTTGGCAATCTATCTAGCCCAAACTGGAAACAGTCTGAATGTAACTCTGAATTTCCAAGTTCCCAAATGTGTCCTGGATGTCTAGAATAATACCATGCTCTAAACTATGCAATACAAGAGAGATATAGTCTTCCACATGCCCACTTTCTCCCAGGGCTTTGCTTTATC